AGCAAAGCTGCCTGGAAAATGACGAAGGCACCTATCAAATGTAGTCTGTGGGGCCAACCAGCTACTGAGCCGGGCCAGACACACTCTACCTCTCACCTCCAGACTGAAGTCAAGTGCAGAGCTGCCACTCCAGGCCTGCTGGTTTCATTTTCATCTGAACATGATGCCTGACATCCGGTGATCTATTTTTTTCTAAAAACTAGGTTCACTTTAGAAATGACTCTTAGGCCATCAAGACAGCTTCCCCAAGAGAAAACAAAATGTTATTTAAAGGGAACATCAGCCTGGTAGGAGCCTATATTTTTGTTTTGTATTAAAAAGGGGGAAAAAAATAATTTAGAATGTAATGTGAAATTGGTCCTTCCCCGCCCCTTGGCTGATTCAAAGAGAACTCTGCAAATCCCTGACTACAGACCCGGGGCCCCCAGACGTGATACTGGTGATAAATCGACATAGTTATAAGAGGAAAGGATGGTGAGCTGGGGGTGCCACGTGGTGGTGGGAACCCTACTCCACAGAACCGAAATTTCCCTCCTAGTCACCCAAACACAGAGGGACAAGTCCTTGTCAACTTATCTTCTACACAGTATTTTCCTTTTTTTTCATGTCCGGAGTTAAGGTTGGGACCCATTTCACCGCCTGGAGGACACAAGAAAGCCCTAGAGAGGCCCAGCTCTGCCCCTGGCTCAGGGTCCTGGGAGGTCCTACTGAGAAAATGACTCTGCCTTGTCAGGCCATCCCAGCTGTCCTGACATCATCTTACAGAAAACAGATCTAGTCACTCTGGTAACTCGCAACTACTATTACTGCTCTTACTACTGTTATTACCAATGTTTACAACCAAACAACAACAACAACAACAACAACAACAACACAACACCACTTACAGCCGTTGCGTTTTGTGGCTTATGATGTGCCAGGCACTGAGCTCAGCACTTTATAGATACCCTCTCGTTTTCTACTCAAAACAACCCCATGAAGTGTTTCTGATCCCATTTACAGATGAGGCACCTGATGCTTAGAGAAGTGAAGTGATTTGCTTGAGGTCACACAGGCAGACAGTGGCAGACCTGGACCTCAACAGCGTCTGTCTGACCTGACAGCCTAAACTCCACATTTGACGATGAGACACCGTGGACCTGCTCTATTGCTCTGGGCAGTAGAGGCAAATCGCTTCTGACTTAATTTTTGCATCTATAAGATGGGAATGAACGGACCCATCCAGAGGATACGCTATTCATCTTTCAGCCTTTTATTAATAATTATTGTGAATAATTGATATTAATAATTGTTAATGACGCATTAATATTAATACTTATTAACATAGATAGATAAAGCTGTTACATTCAAAATTGACATATTTTGGAGAAAAAAACCCAGCTTATCCTTTCATGAGTAAGTTAGTAGAAAAAGCAGTAAACTAGACGTCAAGAAACGTGGGTTTAGATTCTGGGCATGACACTAATTTCCTGAGTAATCTCATCCACTTTATTTCTCCCATGAGGCTAATATTTGTCTGGGTTTTTCTTTATACACGTATTGTGAGAAAACACAAAAAAGTGGATACGAAAAAAAAGTGGCTGCAAAGTACCATTACTCTTGATGCCATATAATTTCAACGGATATATATCAGGAGGACAAGGGATTAAAGGATATAAAATACCAAGACGGGAAGAGAATTCTTTAAACTAGAATACAAAGAAGGGCACACAGGCCGCTGAGGAAAAATGTCTTTTCTCTGCATTGTCACCTGGGTAGTAAAACAAGCCCACAACTAAGGACCCCGTATCCAACATACTTCAATGTCTCGCTCAGCTCAACTGATATGTTCTACTACACAATTTGCCCTATGTTTGGCCTTCCATTTCTAATCTACTGCTTTCAACATTTCAGTCAGCATCACCCAGTACATGCAAAGCCTTCACACGTGCATCACTTTGAATGCTCATCCTGCCCCTTGAAGATGCTCACCCCCACTCCTTTCCTTTCCTAGGGATCTCGGCATGCAGAGGCCAGAGGGGCTGGCTGATCCTTAGAGTCCTCCCAAGGAACTCTTGGAATTGTCCCCCTTCCCGCCAATTTCACACTGGTGCCATCAAAAGTGCCCATAATGCTCAGATGTTTCCAGTTTAACTGAAATACTAAAATGGGGCAAACAGGAAGCATCAGACAAAACTGCGGTAGTGACTTATTAATCATGAAAGCAGAATTTTAGTTGCATTTTAACCTTTTGCCAGGAAAAAAAAAAACAGCTTCGAGATGATGGAAGCCATTGGTACAAATATGCTGCCTATATGTGTATCAAGCTGACTTATACTTTTAATTTAGTTTTGAACTCGGTTTTAAGATTTCTTAACTATATTCCCAGAAAGAACATCAGTCAAGTCAACCAACATGAATCTGTCAGCTCTTCATCATGGCAGACAGGCCTGTTAGGAAAGCTCATGTGCTGTCCACTGAGACAGGAAAAAAATAGGAAATTCAGAGTGACTTCACAGGCAAAAGTGATAAGACACTCTTAAGAGGGTGCCAACAACGAAGAAAACAACCCTGGAGGAAGCTTTGCCTCATTCACATCTCTATAGATCTCTCACTAGACCCTAGCCGGGATGAACTGTTATCACAAAAAAATCACAACAGTTGCCTGGAGTTGGACAACCAATCAGGGCGAGCCTGCTTCTCAACATTAAATGGTATACAAACACTCCAAGTGGATCACAAAGAAGTCAGTGTTCAACAGGAGAACCAAAATGAGGAAGCGAACCTCCATCTGTTGAGGCGAAACGGCCAACTAGACATTTTTGTTTAATAGATGAAGGCTTATTTGGCAGGGTCTCTCGTCTGTGCTGCTGCTCCCACAAACTCTAACAGTCAATACCAGGAGCAAAAAACCCCCTTCAGAACTGCTCCTTATAATCTGAAAACAGTCAGAAGATGACTTAAAGCTTGGCAACTTACTGCTGTTTGACTTTGCAAAAGTGCTGAGACATAGACCTGGGTATACATTTCTAAAATTTAAATCAGAGACATATTACTTTTACTTTGAGACCTTCTGAGAAGTTCACCACACCCTTCACAATAAATAAGGATGTCCTAAAGGTGTCTGAGAAACTCAGAGGTCTGGCATCGCTGCACCAAAGGAACTGACTTTGACATCACTTTAAAAAACACCAAAAGTAAATCCAAACACATCATAAGCAAGACAAGCACCTGTTCACTCACACTGAGAACATAAATACCACACCAAAAACTTTTCCCTCCTTCAGGCATCTAAGTCCCAGAATATAGTCCTGGACAAGGGGAAGGAGCCTGGGGAAGATTCCAGGGGCCCAGGTTCAAGTCCCCACCCCGAGTCCTAGCTATGAGGCTTAAGTCAAGATACATACCCCTTCCTCTTCCCAGACTCAAATGTCTCACCTATAAAACAGGACAATACTATCTATCTTATCACACAGATGTCTAAAGGAAGGGAGGCTACAGGTATGAAGATACTATAAAAAACACATTACTAATGTTAAGATACTATCTCCCTCTCATCTTTCACAAGGACCATGTTTCTAGTTAAGGGGTTTTCAACATTTTTCCTGGAATAAGCTTCAGATTGCTATTTAGTATTAGGCCCCACCTCTCATCATTTCATTTCACTTGCTTTTAGAGTTTTTAATCAAGTCACTGATGTTCACTGTCCCCCATTACACGACTGATTTCTGTCCCTTTTTTTCACTCATTCCCTCCACCCCATACTCATTCCCCAGTCCATTCTTTAGGACTGAGAGCAACATTTTAACTTTAATAAGGAAAGAAACGCTTTTACTGAAGTTACCCAGCACCAAAGAGGCTCCTGGGTAGATGGAACTCTGCACTGTACAAGTGTCCTCTATCTGCCTGGTGCCCAGTGGCTGCAGGTTGCCAGGGGCCATGATAGGCTTCCAAGATGGGAATACTATATCTGAACCGACAGCTAAAGTGCCGAGTGGAGCGGACAGAAGAATTAGAGAGGCGTCAGGGGAAGCAGGAGGATGCTGCGAGTGGCCACTGCTCCGCTGAATGCCAAGGACAGGCTCCGTTCCTTCTCTTCGCCTCGGGGTGTGTGACCCAAGAACTTTCCAGGGAAGGCCAGAGGGTTTCACTGCCAGGGCAGGTGAGAAGGCGCACAGACAGGGTGCACTTGTGCATTAGACACCTTCCGACTTGTGCCGAGGCGAGCCCCATCCTACAGGGAACCCAGGGAACGGAGCAGGAGGGGCAGGCCTGGCGGTGGGGGTAGCTGAGCGCGGGAGAATCGGGGTGTTGGAGAAGGGGAAGCAGGGCGCCCCTGCGCGCGCTTCGGGACAGCGTGTCGTCTTCTGGGGTGCGGGGCGAGCACGGCATGCGACGGTGGCCCTGCCAGCGTGAGGGAGCGCTGGCGGCCGGCTGCCAGGGCCGAGGGCCCGCGCGCAAGTGGGTCCGACTGGCCGCGCCGCCGACCCCCATTATTCTGGGGCGACGGGCCAGGCCGCAGACCGGCCCCAGGCTGAGGGGCGACCCATCCCCAGTGCTTCCTGCTCTGAGACCCGGGGTGCCCCCCAGTCACCTACCGGCCGAGCGCCGATCTCCCCAACCAGCGATTGTCGTGCTCCCCTTGCCCGCGTTCTCCCGCCGCCGGTCGCCGACCGCTGCGCTCTGGGCCCACAGTCGCCCAGCCCCACAGTCGGCCCGCCCCAGCCTCGGACCCCGCCTCCTTATCGCCCTGGCCACGCCCCCCCCAGCGGCTGCCAGTATGCCTCGCTTCGCGCCTCCTAGCTTTGGCCTCACCTCTACCCTTTCGCTCCGCCCACCTCTCCAATCTAACCAATGAGCCGGCGCGTCCCGGCTAGCCTCGTCATACCGCTCCTAGCAACGATTGGTTAGCTAGGCTTCGTTTACAGAAATGGGCACTATTTCCGGACAATATTTATAGTGAAGACATTGCTGGGCAGACGGGTTGACAGAAGGCGGAGGCGGCCGGGGGTTCGGTCTAACTACACATGCGCGCTCGGCTTCTGGCAGTTTTTTTTATGGGTTGCGTTCTTCGGGAGGTTACGGGAAGGAAGAGTGACTGTGCGCATGCGTGGGCACTCCCAGCCTCGGACTTCTATTACCTTGGAGACGGAGAGGCGCTCTGCCTCCTTGGCCAGGTTCTTTTTACTCTTTGCTCGAGGCCTTGGCGACTAAGGCAGGTGGCAGGGGTGGGGGGAGGGAACACGGTTAGAAATACTTTTATTGAGCACTTACTCTATGCTCAGCGCTGTAGAGTCCCTGAGGACGAGTAAGACAGGTTCTAGTGCCTGCCCTCGAGAAGCTTGGGGAGCCAAGGGCCTACACAGGTCAGACCTGTGTGTTGGAAGCCAAGTCTGATGAGAGCATGAGGATGGCATGGTGCAATCTCTTCCCACAGTAGGAGAAGCTACGTGGTGTGAGCGCTGCATGAAGCATCCCCTCGGAGGGTTTCCAGGTTACAGAGCCGGAAAGAAGAGTAGTGCTTTCCCTAAGGAAAAAGAGGCCTGAATGAAATCTGAATGGGCAAGATGTCAACAGCGGCTCTTTCTGAAAGGGGACTGCCGTGGGGGGGCATTTAGGGGAGAGATGGATATTTTTCATTCCTAATTTTGCTTTTCTGTATTTTCCAGTGTTTCCACAGTAAGCTTGTATTTTATTTGTAATGAAGAAAAAAAACCCAAACTTTAAAAATTTGTGAAATGAAAGATATTCCCCTACCTGGGCACCCCATCCCCCATCGGTGGTCCACAGCAGGCAGAGTGGTAACTGGCTTTAGTAGTGGGAGTAGGTAGGCCCCATCCGAGGCTGTTGGGAGGTAAGGATCACCTCATTGCTGGAAGTGTTGGAGCAAAGACCTGCTCAGGACCACTTTTCAGATAGTCCTTGGTAGTTCAAAGCCTATTTCTGGAGATCTGCACCCAACAGACCTCTTCTTTGTTGGGGAATAGGGAAGTCCATTTATTTAGGCAAGGGTCAGAAACTCACAACCTAAGGGCCTCAGATCATATATAGGTTCTATTTGGCCTGCCCAAGGTTTTTTAAATTTGAATTTGAATGCCTTAGGGCAGAGCCTGCAGTTCCTCACAGCCCCTGCCCCAGCCATTTAACCTTATGTCATCTGTCTGGCCCCTGAGGCATTTGAGGTTGTGGCTCTGATAGAGCCCATGTTTTAGAGCTGGACAGTCTCTGGTGCATACACTGGCTCTGCCACCGACCAGCTTGCAAGATGGTGGGTCAGAAAGAAGCTGGGAGCCCCTAAAACTCCTTCCAACCCCAGGGTTTTTCATTTCAGTGACTCAGGGAGAGGTAGAGGCCAGATGGTGGGTTACAGGTTGGTATGAACAAGCCTGGATGCAGAGAGCTTGCCTCTCCCACCACCTGTTTGCCTCTGGGCACATCACTTCTCAGGAAAGACGTGGGCAGAGGCCCAGGTCTGCAGATGCTCCCTGGCTCGTCTTTGCCTTCTCCCTCTATCACCATTCCTTCTTTAGAACACCGAGTGCCCATGTACTTTACCCAGCTTCTCTTGGCATTTCTCTGGGTCCTTTCTTGCCCTCACCCACCCTATCAAGATTATCCACCTTTAAATCTATCCGTTAACACTAATATGTATTAGTTGGAGAGAGTGAACGTGGTGACCCAAAGCTGCAACTCCCAAGAAGGAATTTCACATCAAGCTGCAGAGGAGGAACAAACCACTATAGGCTAGTGAGGAAAGTATATGGGATAAGCAGCCCTCGAGGTTTCAGCTACTTTTCTTAGGCCTTTCCAAGCCCCACCATGTGTGGGGTGAGGTGAGAAACTGAGTCTCTGAGCCTTGAATTGCTTGTACCTTCTGGAAAGAGAGCTTCAGGGCAAAATTACTTTCTTCCAGCCCAGCCAGTTAAGTCACGTCAACCTGGGAAGGCTTCTAGCCCTGAGTCACTTGTGCAGCCCCAGCTCTGCTTTAAAAAAATAAATCGACATTTATAGGGTGACTCACATCTGGAGCAGTGAGCCAGGTTCTCAGCATTCAAGAATTTCTACATCCCACCTCAGCGGTTCAAGTCTGGAAAAGTAAATGGGTAAGACTGTGCTCTTTCAAAAAGAATAGCAGCTTCTGTTTTTTTGAGAGTTTACAAAAAAGAAGCCAGACACTTCTAAGTGCTTTATGTGCAGCATAACCTCACTGGATATTCACTCTAGTGCAGAGTTTCCCAAACTGGCACCATTGACATTTTGGATTGGAATAATTCTTTGTTGTGGGAGGCTGTCATATATGCTATAGGGTGTTTAAGAGCATTCCTGGCCTCTGCTTACTAGATGCCAGTAACATCACCCCCCTAAACCCAGTTGTGACAACAAAAAATATCTTCAGACATTGCCAAATGTCCCCAAGGGAACAAAATTGCCCCTAGTTGAGAACCCTTGCAATCTAACCCCATGGAGTAGGTACTATTATTATCATCCTTATTTCACAGATGAGCAAACTGTGCCTCAGAGGGAAGTAACCTCCCAAAGGTCACTTTGCCGCAACAGAAGACCTAGTATTCAAACCAGGTATGACCCCAGGGCCCCTCTTCTCCTACACACAGAACTCTACATAGGGACTTTGGGCTTCAAGGAGCCGGTTGCCCACAGGGCACATAGTTCTGTAGAAGATGAAGAGTGAGTGAATTTTGTGTATCAGTGAAAGAATGCTATCCTTAGATCATTTTTTTTTTTTTCTGTTTTCTTTGGAAGAAATAAAATTATATTCTGTTTTTTTTTACTGCCTTAGTCAGCACAGTTCATGGTGGCCAGCCATGCTTAGTGAGAAAGTGGCTAGTGAATCATCTGAGTGTCTGTCAACCTCAGGCCCCAAATTCCTGTGAGATCCCGAAGTTACACTTGAGCAGAATGCAGATGTGAGGCTGAGCTCAGAGCTGACTGGGGGTTGGGAGCAGATGTTCCTGAAGGAGAGGAAATTTTACTTTCCTAATCAGGGGCCATCCCGAGGCTGCAGCTGTGGTACCGTCACTGCCCTCCTTGGCTTGGATCTGCCCCATTGCTGTCATGCAGTCTAGAGATGTAGGGAGAAAGAAGAGGGAATGGACGCAGGCAGTGGTGTGCTGGAGCTCTTTCCCTACTCTGATCAGTGGCGATTGCAGGTTGGTAGCTTGAAATCGGACCTGATAGGAGTATTTACATCATAGAAATTGGCAAACAGTATAAACCAGAGGCACCCACCCCCAAGCTGATTGTCGAACATTTATCAGCACATCATTGCATGCAGATTCTGGACCCTGACTACCCTTCACCAATTCTGCCCCCATGGGGAGGTGGAAGGGGGCACAATCAGCCATAGAGCTGTTGGAGAAGAGGAGGGGCCGTGTGATGTGAGTGAGGAGAAGAGAGGCCAATCTCTGCAAAGGGTGAAGTTACCAGTGGAGGTCTCTGGGGCGCTGGGAAAAAATGCCTTACCAAGAGCAGGTCCTGGGCATACCTTTCTGAGATCCCTCCCAAATTTGAAGCCTTCTTAGGGAGCTCTGGGTTAAGGCTTTACTCAAATTCTTCTCACTGCCTGACTGGGCATCCCCTCCTAACTCACTTCCCTGCCTCCAGCTGCCTCACCATACTATGCATCCTCATCCCTTCTGGTGGATTTAATCCTCTTAAGAGCCCACTGAGGTCATGTGTTCCACCTGCAATGTCCCCACATCTCCTGCCCTTCACCTCCTCCCCATTTAGCGTCTTCCTCTCAGTCTCCACATGTGATCAAGTCTCTGCAGCCTAAAAACACGAATAAAGAAAGGATCTTTCCCCTGTCCTGGCTTTCCCTTACACTATTGGCCCAACATTTTCCTTCTTCTCAACTCCCAAACTTTTTGGTACTCCGGTCTTCGCTTCATCTCCTCCTTGCGGCTACCCCTTGCAGTCTGGTTTCTGACCACCACCCCTTCTCTTCATGGACACCCACTAATTGCCTCCTAGTCAGAGGACCTTACCGCAGCTTTATACTGCAGCCAGCCACAAAGAGATGCACAGAGCACCTCCTGTGTCAGGCTCTGGGAAGGGAGTGCAGAACTTCCAGACCAGTCTAGTAGGTGGGTAGACCTTGAACAAGTGACTACTGATGAGGACTTAAGTCATTCCAGGTGATGACATTGATGAGAGGATGGATAGAGTGTATTGTATCAGGCAGGGCACAACTGGGGAAGCAGAACTCACTCTTGAATTTTTAGATAAGGAATTTAATGCAAGAATTGGTCACGCAGGATGGAAGAGCTGAGAAGCTCAGCTGGAGATGGCAAGGTAACCAGGAATCCATTACTAACCCTGGGTTGGAGGGACTTGAGGGGGAAGCAGTGTAGTCAGTGGCTGGGGGCCGGGGTCACTTGGAAGAAGTTGGAACCACAGAGGTGACACAAGTAGTTCCATAGACACCACTCAAGAGTGAGAGGGTGAAGATTCTCTTTTCTTTCCACTCTCTGGTCTCCCGCCAGAGCTTCTCATTGGCCCTGGAGCCTGCAGGGTTCAGTTACCTGGAGTGCAGAGCAGAGAAGGTAAGACCTATGGGAGGCCACACAACCCAGGACTAGCACAGGTATGAGATGCGAGAGGATATGGGGGACTAACTTAGTGGAGGGGGCTCAGAAAAGACCTGAAAGGTGAAGGGGACTTAGAAGGGAAAATATTCCGAGCAATCACTGACATTTTTATTATTTTTTTAGAGCAGTTTTAGGTTCATAGCAAAATTGAGCAGAGATGTCTCATATCCAACCCCCAGCCCACTCACATGCGTAGCCTCTCCCACGATCATCCTCCTCCACCAGAGTGGTACCTTTATTATGACTGATGAACCTACATTAACATAGTCACCCAAAGTCCATAGTTTTCATTATAGTTCACTCTTGGTGTTGTGCATTCTGTGAATTTGCATAAATGTATAATGACATAGAGTCATCATCATAGTATCATACAGAGTCCTCTCACTGCCCTAAAAATCCTCTGTGCTCTGCCTATTCATTCCTTCCTCCTCTCTCAACCCCTGGCAAACACTGATCTTTTTACTGTCTCCATAGTAATAAATAAATAAATTGTGATCCATCCAGATAATGAAATAGGACATAGCACTAAAAAGCAATGAGCTCTTAAGCCATGAAAAGACAGAGAGGAAGCTTAAATGAATATTACTAAGTGAAGAAAGCCAATCTGAAAAGGCTACATACTGTATGATTCCAGTTATATGACAATCTGGAAAATGCAAAACTACAGAGATAGTAAGAAGATCACTGGTATTTTGGGCCCATCTTCTTCCTGAGGCTTCAGAGATACCGTACTTTCTGTCTCTCTTTCTTTCTCCCATTCTTAAAGATTGAGGCACTCCCCAAGTTTCAGTTTTAAGCCCCTCATTCTCTCCTTGGGGGTTCTTATCCACTGCTAACTTCATTTAATCGTTCAACAAACATTAATTGAGAATCTATTTTGTGCCAGGTACTTGATTAGGCCCCTGTGACACAGAGAGAGATGATTGAGTCAGAGGCATGCTCTCAAGGAAGAGACAGACAAGATTGCAATACAACGTCGAGGGTAGAAGGAAGCTTTGGGTGAGGTAAGAATACATAGAAGAGATCAAAGAAGGCTTCCTGGAGGGGATGCTTGAGCTGATTGCTGCCAGGTACACTGGCAGTAAGCCAGGTGAAGGAGGCAGAAAGGGCATTCTGGCAGAAGAAATAACATGTGCAAATACATGGAGACAAGGGACATATTAAGATATTTGGGGAATCAGGATGTGGGATGCAAGGGACGAGGAAAGAGAGAGTCATTCTGGCCCTGAGGCTGTGATTTGGATTGTAGAGGGCCTTGTAGGCCATACTTAGTAGGCTGAGCCAGGGGAAAGACAAATAACATTTCTGGAATGGAATTTTAGAGACATTTCTCTGTTTGCAATGTGGAAGGGTTGTATGTTGAGGGTGCACAGGCTACAGACAAGGAGGCCGACTGGAGGCTTTGCAGTAAGAGGTGATGGTGGTTAAACGAGGGAAGTACAAGAAGATGGGGAGCCAGGATAGATGAACAAAATACAGAGAGATTCAGAATTGAGAAAATAAGTCAGATGACAGGGCATGGATGGAAGATGGGAGGGGCGATTCTGGGATGCTGCTACTGAGGTCAGGAGCCATAGGCGACAGGTTTGGGAAGAGGAAGAAATGTCAGCTTTGGACACAGTGTAGCCATCTTGGCTCTTGGCTCTGACTTCCAAATTAACACCTTCAGCTCTGACCTCGATCCTGCGCTCTGAACTGGAATGTCCAGGGGCCCATAAAGCAATTCTACTTCTAGCCACATGACATTTCTACCTCTACATAGTGCCCCAAATCTGTTCCTCGCCCACCTCCCTCTGTTAATGTCATCACCACCAAGCCCAGGGGTCTCCATAGCCTCTTCTTGCCCTCTCACCCCAAGCCATGTCAACTCTATCTCCATAATGTGTCTGTGGCCCCCTGTGTCTCCCCTTTATCGTGATGTCTCACCATTGCCTCTTGCTTACTGTCATTTCATTCCAATCCTTCCTGTTGCCTGTTATATCACTTCCTTGCTCAACGCTTTCAGTGGCTCCCCATTGCTTACAAATAAGTACGAGCTCTCAAGGTCCTCACAGTCCAGCCTCAACTTATCTATTTTTGCTCTTTCCACAACTTCCCTGCAGACACCCTTCAGTACCTCTTACCATTGCCCCAAACCACCCTGTACATTGTGAGGCTGTCTCGCAGACTGAAATGCACCCCTCCTCCTCTGCCTGTCAAAGCACCCCCATCCCTCAAGGCCCTGATGAAATGTTTCCTCTCCAGACATCACATTTCCCAGTTAACTGCCTGCCTTCGTGCTCTTAACGGACAGTGAGCACTTGCGGGCAGCTTCTAATCACCCCGTGGTGAGGTGGCATTCAGTAAATGTATGTGGAACTGAATTGGCTTAAAAAGCCCATTCCTTAGATCAAGAACCTGCTGTGGCTCCTTGTCAGCTGCAGAAGCCTGTTCCTGTGGCTTCCCAGATTTCATCTTAGGTATCTAACCTACTCCCTCATTGTTTCCCCAAATATGTCCATGTTCGATTTCAACTTCCCTGCCTTCCTTTCCCTTACTACCAGGGGAGATAAGTTATACATACTAATAGCTAATGTAATGCTAGTTTAAAATACTGCAATATCTTTTGCTCATGGGTTATCCTGCCTATCTTTTAAGATTGGAATCCTAATTTTGTTCAGATTGGTAAAACTGCTCAGTTTTAAATGCTTCCCGGGCTCCCTTGCAGCTAGGATGGCCATGTGACAAAATTCTGCCCAGTAAGATGTACATGGAAGTCCCTGGGTGGGGCTACAGGGAAAACTTGTTAAAGAGGTCCAACCTAGGTGGCACATGTCCTTCTGTCTTTTGTCCTCTGTCTGTCTTATCATCCTTCTTCAGTGTGGAATTGCCAGGAGGTGTAGCAGCCAGTGTTTGAGCATAAGAATGATAACTTTATTCTCTGATGGCGGAGCAGAAAGCTAGATGGGCTCTGAGTCCCCAGTGGCCTCG